AGTAACAAGTGAGGTTACAAAAAGTGTTTACTGTCTAAGGTCGCTCTAGTTACCTACTATCTTAAAAGAAGTAGATATAGGATAACAGTATATAGGAGAACATAGAAGTTAATGAATAAAAAAGCCAATAGGTGTCATAGAATTGAAAAGATTTTAGAAGTTTTAAAAGAGAGTGTTCAGATATATTAGAATTTTTTAAAAAATTCTATCTAGTTTAGGATTGAAAACACTATTTAGGTCTTCTATTAAGATAATTTTATAGTTTTGTTAAAAATAGGAGTAAAATATGAAAGAATATTTTTTCAAAATTAATTTTTTTCTTAAATTAGAAAATAAATTTGAATTAGCTTGATGTAAAGATTTTTAAAGAAGATGTCAATTTCTATAAGGAAATTTTTGTATATTTGAATTTTTTCAATATGTTTAGCAAGTAATTTGTAGATTAAAATTCCTATATCACTTTAAAAAATATTATTTAGTGTCCAAAAACTTTTATAATTTGTAAGTTTTTGTAAAAACATTAAAAATTTTACTTTTTTAATAGATAAATATAATTCTAATATTCCAAAAATGTCTATTTGATTTTCTGAGATATAGTTAATTAAACTTAATTATTTGTAATTATCTAAAAGCCCATTGACATTAAGTGAGTGTATTTTGATTGATTTTATATTGTTTGAAACTTCTAATTCATTTGTGTTTGTTGGTTCAATTTTAGTTAGAGAGAAGATATGTTTAATTGTAATTATTAGTAGAGTATTTAAAGATGATATTATGATAATTGGATTAGATAATTGATTGGACTTAATAAAGGAAATAAAGTTTATATCAGGTATTTTTCAGTTTGAGATAGTTAATAAGAATAGATGATCATGTATTTTATAGAAAGAAGAGTCTAGTATGGTATGATCTGGTATTGTTAGTTCAATAATAGTTAAATAAATATGTGTTTCTGTTTTTATTATGTTTATAAATATTTTAATTGGATTAAGAAAAGAATTGTAATGTAGGTGTTAAATAAATTTGATAAGTCTAACAATTTCTATACTTGAGATAGTTTGTGATATTTTAAAAATTTCTTGTAATATTTGTCTATCTCTGTAGAAGTTGAAGTATTAGAAGTAGAGATAGTATTTGTAATATCTTTTACAGAATTGCTCACTGTTTTAAGATCATCTTGTACAACTGTAAAGAATACCATAGACTGTTCTGTATATTGGATCTGGCTATTATATTCCTAATCTTTCACTATTGTAATATAATTATTAATTGTTAATATATAAGAAATATAATAATAATTAATTAGTAATTTAAATATAGAAAGATATTTATTTAGCTTTAAACAGTTATTCTATTGAATTACAAATAAATCAAATAAACTGTTATTCTGTTAAACTTTAAATTAAAAATGAACAAACTAAATAAGCTGTTAATTGTTTGTTTTATAAATAAAAACAGTTTATACTCTTTATTATTTTAGCTAACAACTGTAAAGATGATTAAATTTATTAACTTTTATAAATATATTCAAAATAAAAAATATAGTAATACTTCAATCTTATAATATTAAATTGAGTTTGCTCTAAAAATAAAACTGAAATATTATATATAGTTGCTTAAAAAAATAAATATATTAAAGAAATTTTTATTTTGTATTATATAGATTTCAAAAATCTGTTATTTAGTTGAAAATATTTTTTTGTTTTTTTACAACCAAACTTTCTACAATTACTCTTATGGTTTTAAGAATTTGTGCCTATATAAAGTTTAAATTTTATATATAATATATGAGTTGATTTTAAAAATTTATGATTATAAGTAAATAATTATAAAGAAAGTGACTATAGAAAAGTCTGAATACAATTCTAAATAATGAATAATAATTTTAAAATATTTATTTAATTACAAAATAAAATATTTAATTATAATCTATTATGAATAAATTGGCTATCAATTTTGACAACATATTTGAGTCTATTTATAATAATTTTTAGATATTAGACCTTTATCTGTAATTATTTTCATTTTGAACTCTTATTTGTAATTATTTTTATTTTTGGACTCTTGTTTATAAATTCTTCTAAAATAATTTTATAATTATAAACTTTTTTTTGTAAAAATCTAATAATTTCAAGAACTAAAATTATTTTTTAATAATTTGTTAGTAATAAACAATATGAAAACATTATTAATACTAATTATTTTATTATTTATATTTTTAAATACCTAATAAAATTGTTAAATATTAATAATTTTAGATCTTTATATTAAAATATTAATAATATTAATATTTTATTTAGTATAATAATTAATAAATATATTTATATAATAAATTATAACAACAAATACTAAAAAATGCTTAGATTTGCAAAAGTTTATATTTTAATAGTATATTATCAGTGCTTTTAAAATACTTATTTTAGCAAATTCAGTTTTGACTAATTTTAGTAAAATTATTAATAAAAAATTATAGTACTTTTTTTTATATTTATATTATAAAAACTTAATATTTATATAATAACTGCATCTGAACAAATGCATTATGTGTAATATTAAAAAAATGCATTATTTGAAGCTTAACCTATTTTTATATATGGTTAAAAATTTATATAAGATCTTTTAAATTTTATAATAAAAATGACTTTATTATTAAAATAAACTTAAAAATATATGTAATTATTATCTAAAGCAACTTTATTTAAAACAGAAATATCAATTGATATAATAAAATTTTGATATTAATATATAATAATTATTGATTAAAAAATTAATAAAATTCAATAATTTTATCTAATAAATTCAATCAAAAAAACTACATTATATACAAATAACTTAAATGATCTTAATAACCAAAATGACTTGAAACTCTTTAGTTTTTAATTATATGTATCTTTAAATAATAGATATAATAGTATTATGAATTTTATCTTAATGAGACAAGTTACATTTATTATTAAAATTATTAAAATCTTTAGTAACAAATTTTAATAATTTTGTTATCAAAATGACTTCTTAACAAATAATTTTAATTAGTCCAAAAACAATTACAGAATTCTGAAACTTTTAAATATTAATGTTACACACAAATTGTAATAATTTAGTTAGAATTTTCTTATAAAAGCAATTATTTTGGTGATAAACCATTCCAAAAGGATTAATATATCAAAAAATACTCATTACAAAATATATAATAATATGAAGGAAGTTAACAGATTCAGGCCAATTGTTTTTATTTAAAATTTTCAATAAAAGCAATTTGTCTAGATTGTGTTAACTTTTCCCATATCTATAATAGTTCGATAATGAGAATTCTGCTTTTGTCAACTATATTCTATTATAAAAATAAAGTGGAAATATTTATAATAAAATTTTTGATAACCAAGGTTTTGTTATATCATATTTTCTATATTCTTTTTTATAAAAGATTTATGTTTTTATTACAAGTTTGCGTGATACCAATTCTATTTTTAATGGATAAAAACTTTTACACAAAAGTATAGGTTTTGTATTATAACTCGTATATTAATTCACAGTTGATATAACAAAATAGAATATAATAAATGATAGTTTATAAAAAATCTAATTTTTATTTTACTTTGAATAATATTATCACAATAAAAGTTGCCAAAATTAATATTTTTTTACCAAAAATCTTTATTAAATACCGATTTTTGTTTAATTAAAAAAAGACTTTAAATAGTATGTTTTAATATGGTTGGCTAATACAAAGATTGGATTGTTATAAATACATTTATTATTAATAATGTTTAAAATTTATACAATATTAATAAGATTTTGGGTTAAGATTACTTTTTTATTTCTTAAGCAATATTTATAGTTAGTACATAATGCAGTTATTTATAAACTATATTTCTTGCACTCCATCCGTTAATAATATTTATTGATCTTCAAATCATCTTCGTTCCTTCGCCATCTTCGTTCCTTCGCCATCTTCGTTATTATCAATTTCTTCATCGCCTTTGTCCTTATCAATTTCTTTATCATTGTTCTTATCAATTCCTTCACCATCATCGTTCTTAATAATTCCCTCTTCGTCGCCCTTATAAAATTTTTCGGCATCTTTGTTTTTATTAATTTCCTCTTCATCTTTTTTATGACGTTCTTCTTCATCTCTATTGATTTGAGCCTTTCCCTCTTCAATATTGTTATACATCGGGGGTTTCCTTTTTAATTTTTCTCCTATATAATCAAATTTAATACCATATATTTTAGTGGCTATAAAGGATAAAGTTGAAAGTCCTGACGCTATTAAGGCTAAGAGTGGAGTAATTTCAACCTCGACACTATAAGTTAAGTAAATAACCTAATATAAATTCATAATTTTAGCAAAATTATCTACATTAATTGTCGGAACTGAAGCTGAATTTGGGATTCTCTTTAAAAATGGACTCATTGCATTAAAATATACTCTTTAACAGTGTGAAAGTTTAAAAAAAAAGAGTTTAAAAGTTTTTAAACATTAAAATAACAATAAATCCGTCCTCAGCTCCGTCCACAAAATTAAGAAATACCATATTTTCGCGTAATAATGTCAATTAAAATTATTTCGGGGTATTTTTTCAAACTAAGCTTAATTTTGTCAAAAATTCCCTTGCGCGCTATAACGCGAAAATACAGTAGAACATTTTTTAAAAAAGGCTTGCTTTTTTTAAAAATACCTGAATAACAAATTGCGGTATATCAGTCAGAAATATACTAACGCAGCCTCCATAAAAAATCGCTTTAATCGCATTTTCTGAAAATGGGGCTCTAAAAATGTCAGAATCAAAAGATCCAATATCGCAATCCAATATATATAGCATATCAATATTTGTAGTCGATAATATTGCAATAATGCTAGCAAATCTTCCATGTTGCCCAAACCATGCATTGAACTCAGCTTTTAAAAAATGTACTATTGAAAGAGCCAGAACTAAATTGAATACTAAGGAAATTACATAAAATACTATGCTGTTTTTTTTTAATAAAAAAACCATATAAATTTTAATAAGATATTATAATAATAAAATTTATTTAAATGATAATATGACCTTACCTAGGTATGAAAAGAGACTGAATAGCTCTTGAATTACAAAAAATAAATCTTGTGCTAGTGACGAAACGGAATAGAGTAATTCCAAGTTGGATAATAATAAAATTTTAATTGTTTTTCTATATAATTTTTAAATATTAGACATGTTTTAAAATAAAAATACTAATTGAAAATCATTACCTTGTGAGCTTTTAACCAGGCTGCCAAATACAGTAATAAACATATAAGTGCAGCTAAAACTACTGCAATAAATTCTTTTATATGTAATTTAAAAAATTCAATTGATGTTACTATTAAAAAATAAATAAACAATTAATGATAATAATAATAATAATATAAAAAGACAAAGTAGCTCTTACATTGTCGTTGAAACCCGTATGTTTCATCTAAATGTTTTGTGTAAGGATCTATTGAAATACCCGTGGACATTTTATTTCTTATTAACGTGTCCAAATCCTTCTCTATATCCGTGGAAAGCCTATTCTTACCACTGTTGTCCCCTTAATCGAAAGTGATATAAGAAATCTATCAGATTCAGTAAAAGATACATCAATTTGGATCAATTCTGTCGAATCCAATCTTCCATGCTCTATAGGAATTATATTTGATAGTCTAACTTTCAAATCATCAAAAAATTGAGATTTTTTAAGAGTTTTAAAATATTGAGTTCCGTTTGTTGTTAGTCGTAATTTTCCATTGATATTGCCTAATTTTAATCATGGTTAAAAGTTATTATAATGTTCATGTAAACTAATAAGTATGCATTAATTAATTACCGGCATATTTTGGACTTGATGAGTCGCTAGCTATACACAACAATCAATATGATATTAATGATATTAATGCAATATTAATAAGCAATTACATATAATAATAATAATAATAATAATATAGACCTAATTGAAAAGTCCATTTATTTGGACTGATTCCCAGTAATGGTTCGTTAAAACCTGTGGCCATTACAAAATTATTATCCATTTGTATATAATATTTTCCACCTGGATTATTGAAAGTACAAGTAAGTACTTTTAGATTAATAGTAGTATCATTAATATTATAACATTGACTAGGATCACAAGTTCTTGAATTAATCTTTTGTCGAAGATTTGAGTTTCCCGGACTGGTTACTTGGTAGATATATAAATTGCCATTTGCGATATTTGTGAGAGTAGTGGATTGGTTAAAGGTGATTAAAATATTACTGGAATTTAATGGTATGATATCGTTTTGTTTAGGGATTGCTGAGTTCACAAGGAAATTACCATAATCAGATTCTGTATGATAAAAAGATATAATTTAATTATAAAATTGTTCATATTTATCATATTGAATTAAAAAGGTTTTACCATCAAAAAGCCGAGGTAAGTTGATTGACAAGAGTCTCCAAGATGTAGAGGATTCATTTAGTGCTATTAACATTGTATTATTTTTTAATATATCATATTGGGAAAATCTATTTGCTACAATATTAGATGCATTGTATAATAGTGTATTTTCTTCATTATAAATAGTATAATTGAAATAATAAACATGTTCGGTAAGATTTGGTGTTCTTTCTATTTGTATATATCCACCAAAAGGAAGTGTTCAAATATCCAAAAGTGTTCCGTTATACATGATGGGTGCTTGATTATATGTTGTCACAGCACCGGAAGAAAGAAAACGTATTCTTATAGCAAATCTGGTTGTGTTAGTAGTGGTGATATTGGATTGATTCGTTACAGTTGTGACAACTGGCATAGTCGTCGTCGCGATTGCAGAAGTTATGGTGGTTACTGATATATTAAGAATATTAGTAGTATAAGTTTGATTCCTTTCTACAGGTACTATGCATGAATGACCAATGAAAACATAATCGACAGAGCAATATATATTCTCATAGAATCCTAGCCGATCTGGCGATTCATGTAAAACAATTTTTGGAGGTGTTTTAGTTTGATTATTAGTTAAGAATATAGCGTATATTCCTGAATAAGAAGGAATAACGCTAGAATTTGTATAAATCGCTTTAGTTGAGTTAACGAATGCAATCGCATATCCACCATTCAAAGTTGCAATTGCGGTGTAACTACTGGAAAGAGAATCCGATGACATATCTATTGTATCGTTCTTTAATAAATTGAAGACTCCATCACCCGTACTAAAAAAAAAAGATCATTGTATATGAGTATGTAATTGATAAATGTTAGTATAAGAATGCAACATACTGTTCAAATTGACTCCAGTTAGCATTAAAAGTTCCAGTTACTAGAGATAAACGTAAAAATCCTTTTTGGGGGTCGATATTATTTACTAAAATTTCATTTCGGATCCATTCATTAGTTCCCGGTTGTAAATAAGATGGTCCAAAATTGATTTCACTGTCATAATGTATATCAGGTTAATAGAAATCATTAAAAGTCCAAAGGACTATAAGGAGTGATTATAGTTAGTCAAACAATTGACACCGATATATACATACTATGAACATATGAACAATTTCATGCGCATGGAATTCTGGCCTACATTATGGTAGCATGCTGCTAATGCGTGCCAGAATTGAGATTCCGAAATATTCCGAAAACTCCCATGCGCATGGGCGCATCACTATGAACAACCAATCAAAATCCATTGTTTCTTAACAGTATAGTCCTTCAAAAATTTATGATACATGACTTTTAAATTCATGATTATTCAACAAACCTTATAATTTTACCGCTCCAATCTATAACCATTCCCACATTCATATAAGTTGTTTTATCGGAAGTATTACTTGCATTAATATACGAAATTAAAATGTATTTATCAAATAATGGATATAAATGTAAAGGATTTCTGGATTTAAAGCAATAATTTATATCTTGTATTTTCTCAAAATTGGTAGTATTTATTTCAATAACGCTCCCGTTTGCTTGAATGACACGAATTAATAATCTCTGTTCATAGCATGATATAGGGCCGCCTTCAATGTTTCGACGACCAACTCGAACCACAGTCGTGCCTTCACTGTCATCATAACGTTTAAAATAGATAATAATAGGTTGTTTCCCGGTTAGATTAGCTTGGGGAGACTCTTTTTCTGTATATGTGAAGATTGAATTGTCTACACTAATTTGCGCAAATCCTATTGACGAAGCAGTCAACAAGAAAATAGTAATAAGTGCAAATTTACACGGTAAATTCATCATTTGTTTAAACTGACATTCAGTAAGATATTTTGAATTTAAATTAAAAAATTCGGTCCTGACTATAATTGCTATAACAATAAATTTGATGAATGTGCTGTCATGAATTAGAAAATTTTTAAGATCATTCGATTTTTTCATAGTAACTGTTCTACTTTTTTCATCACCGCAACACTAATAGGTGTAACGTAAATAAAAAAAGGCAATGAAGCCATATTAATATATGAGTGCGAAAACACACATCTACGCGTTAAGTTTAGTATGTACTGTAATAAATATTATAACGCCAATAAATAGCAAACATTCATGATCTTCAAATAGTTCATTTTAAATACATAAACTAATTTAATGTTGAGACCCAATACATCTACCCGGGTGACTTTTATCGCAACCTGGGCACTATCATTCTTTGAACTTTAATTCAAGGTCATATGTTATTTCTGAAGATCCTAATAATTCCACGAGTGTTTTGTTACTTCGTGCTTATACGGTATTAAGGTTCAGGTCAAATTAAATTTAGAGTACGAGCAGGGTATGCTAAAAATAATTTCATAAACAAATTCTTTTAAGCTACATTCAAGTTTCCTTAAACAACGATGTTTTTTTTTAATTATTTTATATTGCATTTAATCTCACTAATCTCATTATTGTCACGAGTGAATCTGACGTAAAATAATTTTATGTACGAATACAAAGGAAAGTTAGGTAAGGCAACTCGTCAAAGTTGTGACTATGGTGGTTTGGTCTGGGATATCATAATATGAGGGTAATTATCACGGGTTACTATAACCAACTATACTATAACTTATTGTTTTCAATGACCTTTGGCCTCATGCGCTCTGGGGTATATTGTCTTGATTTTTCGGAAATGTCATTTATTCATTCTCATTTGACATATTGTTAACAGTTGATGGGAAAGTCTCTCTTCAATAATCATAAATTATAATCTTTTAATCGAAGGAAAAAAACACCCTTATGCAATATCGCAATTTTTTTTCAGAGTTAATGTCACTCCATGTGCTGCTACGCAATGCATGAGTGAAATAAAAAAATTTCTGTTATGTATCATATATGCCGAATATTGATGTTATCCAGCGTTTATTCCGTTATATTTTGCACAAATGATTGCGTAATCTCGTGCCAAAAATATCATAACAAAAGTTTGTTACTAGCTTTTGGTTACATGCATATGCATGTACATTATATTATCCAATCAAATAAGTTCTTGTTATCAAGGTATCTGTTATACAAGCATGACTACGTTCCTGATAATACCTATGGAATCACACCACTTTTGATGCTGATGCTCTATATAAAAATATTTATCCACATCAAAACCTAATGAATTCATTTCACCCTTTAAAATCATCGATTAATGTTTGAGGTGAAGTGCGTAGTGCAAATACATATTATTTTGGTTTGTTTTTGTAATATTACGCAGACCATAGTAGATCAGTTACAGATTTATTACCATAGGTAGGACCTTGAATCGTAAAAATCTAGATGAACCTTCTTTTTTTGTAAATTGCATGATTTTTTTTGTTTTTAATCGCGAATACAAGTTACCGCCCAAACTATTTTTTGTTTTTAATCGCGAATACAAGTTACCGCCCAAACTATTTGGGATGGCACATACTACGCGACGATTAGCATCACATAATTATTAAACTACCGTGATAATTTTTGCTTTCATAATACTAAATTTAATTTTAATATATTGCAATTTTTGTAATGTAGATTATGTTACCATTTAAATTTAGTTAAGTCTGTAACGCTAGTTAAGACAATTTCCACATGGTTTGGGCCGTCCCAAATAGTTTGAACGGCAACTGTAAACAACAAAATGAATGTTCTAAATTTGTTTATAAATTACAAAATATATTTATAAATTGGTGCTTTATTTAGGTGTTTTAATCATATTTACGAAAAATTTATTTTAAACTCATTGCAAAAACAAATCTAACTTAAAATAAAAATCTAATTCTGTAAATCTGCAAAGATGAAAACCTTAAATTTATGCATTCATAAAATTCATAAATTTTAATAAAGTTTAATATTGGATTTTTTTTATAATTTTAGCGTCTTCCCTTTGCTAATTAGTACAATGTTACGCTATATTTATGTTACTTTCGCCAGGAATTTGTTTCGTTACGCAGTATTTATGTTACGTCTATCAGGAATCCGTTCCGTCTCGATCCATCCAAATTCTACAATGAAGAATCAATCTATCTAAATTCTACAATAAAAATTAATTTATCTAAATTCTACAATGAAAAATTATATCTGAAAATAAGTTATAAAAGCATGAATTCCCTAAAAATTTTAATTCTCATCAAATATTTCCACAGTTAATATTTTAAAAATATTTGGTTTACTAATAATGCCTTCAAAAACCCTTTTCATCTTTATTATTTTGGCTTTCACTCTTCTGTCCTCTTTATCAGAAGCTTTCACTTCGAGTTTTTTTAAGAGATCTTTCATTCCAAGTTATTTTAAAAGAACTTATGAACCAGTAAAATGCAAACCTTACTTGCTTACTGCAACCCATGATAAAGCTATTAAAGGTCAAATGACGTTTTATCAAACTTCTAATGGAAGCATCTTGGTAACAGGAACATATCAATATGGATTCAATGATCCATGTGATTGGTGTTATACTTGGTCAATTCAAAATCAATGTGGTGAAGTTGTTTATAATTTCACTGATCTTTATACTGAATATGCCGCAAAAAGTGGTTGTGATGGTTACCCTCCTGATTATAAATGTAAAAGGAGAGACTCGATTCTTAAGAGAGGTTATGAAAATGACAAGTGTTACATTGGAGAATGGGGAACAAAACCTTGGGTAATTAGATTTAATAATTTAATTTGGGATTGTGATCATAAAGGTATTAAGAATAAAACATGTGAAGGTAAAAAGATTTATGATGAATGGGATGAAAAACACAAAGTTCCAAAACGGCTTAAAAATCAAGGTTTGCCAACTGGACTATTTCTTGTAATTGAAGGTAATAGTAATAGTGGGAAACGTGCATACTATTATGAAACTACTCCGATGGTGTCTGATGATGCTCCAGAGGCATAAAATTCTTAAATAACTAGCTTACTATGTGATGCATTTGATGTTTTAAATTTTTTTTTTTACCTAAATTTAAAACCATTTATGTTATGTTAATATTCAAAGCATGTATAAATAAATGCCTTCGCATTCTACTCAATAAAAATTTCTATTTTTATTTAAATTGAAATATGGAGATACACATAATAATTTAACCCTATCCTTTTTTTTTTCTGACTGCCGAATATCTTTTCCATTTAAGCCTATGATTGGCCGTGAAACGTCTTATTTTTCCTTATAGACTGGAACAGTAATGATCGTCATCGATGTTCTATATGTTCTGTACATTCTGTACGTTCCGTACTGCTGAACTGCACACTCGAATGATCAGAATGATCAGAACGATTTGATCAAGCCCCCCAGAGATTTTTTATCGTACTCTGGTTGTATTTATATTTTTCCCGTCATGTAATCGCCGCTTTAATGAATTGTGATTCGCTTTTATTTTGATTGTCTGTTTAGTACTATTTTAAAAAATACTATTGCCTAAACTATTTATGGTAGGTTCTCTCGGCTCAAAATACCGAAAAAATAAGGACTAAAGAGTCGTGAAATTTTATCATATTTCATGTTAGTGTTTAGGGTCTGGTAAATCTGGTCATGCCGCCAACTCACCTTATATCGACTCAATTTTATTCCGCTAATTATTTTGCTTTTTTTTTTATGTACGATTAACAGATTATTCTTTTCGTGGGCAGTCGTTGAAGTAAAGATGTTCGATTCTGTCAATAGGCTGCAAGCAGGTTTTACAAAAGGATGCGAACTATCGAAAATTAATCTTACCAAGGATCTCCAACAAAATTTTGCAGTCATGTGACATCGCCGAAAATACTTTAAGTTAGAGTAAGGTCTATGTTTTAGGAGTTCTAATAGCAAAATCGCTCAAGGAAAACTTTTTGTTAATGCACAGACGGTGATTTCTTATAATCTTACCCAGGATCGCCAACAAAATTTTGCGGTCATGCGATATCGACAAAAATTCTTTAAGTTAGTGTAGGGTCTATGTTTTAATAGTATTATTAGGAATTCTAATAGCAAAAAATCTCTCAAGGAAAACTTTTTGTTAATGCGCAGACGGTGATTTCTTATGCAGGTTTTTGAGAGATAAGCGATTTTTAACTTTCCTGATCGTGTTACGTTACACCAAATGGTGATTAACAATTGGATAATTTGTCGTCGATCATCATGCGACTGCAAAATTTTGTTGGCGATCCTGGCATCATGTGACAACAAAGTTTTGTTGGCGATCCTGGGTAGTTCTTCCCCAGTATCATAGACAGAAATCTGTTTAATTGGCTAATGTAAATCAATTGCCAGGTAACTTATTTATACACTTTAAAGTACTTTTTAAGGACGCAAAATTACACAAGCAAAAAATCATCGCAAATATCATTTCTAACCGCAGAAGATTGTTTTGCGCACCCGCATGGTAGTGCACCCCTATAATTAGCCAATCAGATTTTAGGATTTGCAGTTGTTTTTTGATATAGTGTAATGTAATACAATAAGTTTGCATTTTAATTGGCCAATTAGAGGGATGCACTGCTGTGCAGGTGCGTGAAAAAACTAAATCCATAAAATTAACTCTAAAATTAATCTCTCATAATCTCTTATTTAGAGAAGTTAACTTAGACGCAACTTTCTGAACTAGATAAAGAAAAAAAAGACTTGGTTTGAATTTTAACATGCGCTAAAAAAATAGTTACTAACAAAATAGCTGGTTTTTTTTTTTAGAGATCGGAATTTTAGATTTGGTTTTTGAAGCAGAATAAGCTTGTTAGTGGTATTAGCAATAAGAAATTTAGGATTAAAGCACTTTAAATTGAGTTGGCTTTTAAGTTTGGGTTCATAGATCGTAGATATAAGTTCAGGTTCTTAGATAGTTCTGTAGCTAGATTTAGTAGTTGAATACCGTTTTACATATATTTTACCTATCCTTCATATGTATATAATCAGTGTTTTTATCATTTTATAAACTTTTTTCTTGAAGCATTCGTTTTTAGTACTGTAATATTGTAAAATAATGAATAAAAATGCTGTAATTTGATTGATTAATAATCACATGTAGATTTGCAAATTGATCCAAAAAGCTAGCCAATTTTACTTTCATGTGACAGTATTTAAAAATGCATAAATTCATTTAAGTAGTGTTAGAGTCTATAATAGAGCTAAGCTTTAATTGAGTAATAGTAAAATCACACAAGGAATTTTTTGTTAAAGTGCAAAAGGTGGTTCCTTATGCAAGTTTTTGAAAAGTAAGCGATTTCTGAAAAACGAACGTTCTTACTAATTGTGTAATGTTACATCAAAACGAGACTCGCTATTGGATGATCATCATATGAAAATGAAACTTTCCCAGTATCGACAAAATTTTCCTCATCACGTGATATACCCAATTCTTTAAGTTTCTTTATGTTAGGGTTAGGATCTATGTTTAGGTTAGAATTTAAGATTTAAATTAGTAAACCCGTTTAGGAAAACTTTTTGTTAATGCGCGGAAGTTGGTTTCCTATTTAGATTTAGTGTTATAAGGATCAAGTAACATTACACCAAATTGAGATTCGTCATTGGCTTATTCTCGTAGATCATCACGTGGTGGTAAGAATTACATAGTAAGTTGGCGATACTGAAGTAGTTAATTTGACAGGAACTACCACGATTGATCAATTAGATTATAAGATCAAGTGTAATGTAAAATCAAAACAAAAACTATCATTTTCTAAAAAACTGCTGTAACTCAAAATTTCATTTATTTAAACATCTTTTGCGCATTAGTAAAAAAATTTCTTGCAAAATTTTAGTATAAAGTATTTGTCATTATAATTATAAACCTAACTCTAATATATCATTTTATGACTTTAAAAAAATATCAATCAGTAAAAGTCTGTCAGTGCCACTAGGGTAGTTGTACAGGGTAGTTTGAAAATTACAGATAATAACGTTATACTGATTAAAGATGAGTATCAGTTATCGAAAATCAAATATTTTAAAATCAATTTTAATAATTGATTTTGAAACTAAAAATTAATTATAGCACTTTGCAAAAAGATGTGGCCACATGATTTTTGTGATGATGATGGCGGAGAATCACTGGGATTCTAAATGTAAAATCTAAATTTAAGAATATATATAAAATTATACTATATATTATACTTTAATTAAATTATGCTTTGATTACGTTATGCTTTAATTGCGTTATACTTTAATTACGCAATTAATTATTATAAATACTAATATAGTTTTTTTAATAACGATAAATATATTTACACATTCTTTTATATATCGATCGATATATATTATAAATTTCTTTCAACATATAATTCTAATGGCTGACGCCCAAGAAACAAAACTTAAATACCATTGAGGAACCTGTTTTAGTTGTCGAAAATGCTTGTACTGTGGAATTGATTTACAACAACAAAGATGTAATTGCAATTTATCGGATGTGCCACATAAAGATAATCGAACTGCTGCGGTCAAATATGCATTTACATGGGTATTTAAACCAAACTGGATAAAAGAACAAGTGGAATATATTCATCAAAAAATAGCATTTTACAATTACTCACTAAGTTCAAAGGAACCTTTTAATTTTTCATTATGTTCTCGATACAACAGTATGTTATTAAGATTATCTTCAAAGGCAAAAAAGTCTAAAACAATATTAGGTTCCATAGTTACAAATGTCGATACTCTTTCAGGATTTGAATCATATGATCTTACCATTCTAGATACTAATGCTAATGAAGAAAAGGATGGGTTGGGATTTACTGAAGATTATAATAATGACTATGAAGAGCATAGTACTAATGAGTCTTTATCTGATGATGATAGTGAATATGAGTATAATTATGGAATTTTTATTAAGTTAGAGAATGGTACAACTCTTCCGGCAAAGTGGTATTCATCTAGAATATCTACAGTTGACGAATTGCTTTCAGAAATTCACATAAATATTGAAACTCTGACAAAAAGAAAATCAATTGAATCAAGCGATTATCATATTGCATTTAAACCTGAAAAGGCTACAGGAGCAGTCACTCAATTAGTAGATAATCGTGATTTTAAAAAATTTCAAGCTGATTACTGAAAATATACTTCTAAAAATATTGATATGGCTTTTTTTATAACATTCATTGCTTCAAATTTGAAACAAAATGTAAGTATTAATGCTGTATAACATATATGATTATTATTACTATATTACTTACTATAAATTATATATTATATATTTAGGATCTTGAGTTAGATGATAATTCGAATAATAACAATACTTTGAATTTTAAAAATATTAATTCTATACCTAGAACTTCAAACTTATCTCCAACTGAATCATTAATGGCAAAGAATGTCTTAGATATTCATGAAGCAAATCATTGCTTAATTCATAATTGACCCTGCTTGAACAAAGACAGTGTTAAAGAAAATCATATTGAAATTACATTCATGATGCTTTCTGTTTGGGCATCTGAAATTGTAAGAATAATTTATAAAATAAATATTAAATATATATATATAACTAATATATTTATTATTTTTTTTATAAAGAACAAAGCAATGGCATCACCAACTGAACCACCTACACATCTGTTATTTGCATATCAGTCAAAAAAAGTCAATCTATTTTAACATTACCCTCATTTTCAGTATCACCACAAGTATCATCATCTTTATCATCATTACAAGTACCTTCATATTCAGTATTATTGCAACTATCATCATCTCTAGCATCATTACAACAAGCACCTTCATCTTTGACATCATTACAAATACCTTCACCATTTTCACCTTCAACATTATCATCGATACCAGCTTTATTGCAACCTAATTCAATGCAACAATCTAATTTTTTATAGCAACCAGTTTATTCTGGACAATATTATATTCTATCACCATTTTATAATCCATTTATATCATATTTTCCTTCACAAAATTATGGATTACCCCAAATGCCTATTCAGTCATTACAATCAATTATTAAACCTACTATTCAAGATTTTTTAAAATATGTAGATGAATGCGAAGGTACTGAAAGTTATTATCAAGGATTTTTATTAAGCTTCGAACAACAAAAAATCTCTATACAATTGATTTTTAAGTTATCAAATGAAGACTTTATAAAATGTGAAATCGATACTGTTGGTGAACAGCAAATTCTTCATGAATATGCCACAAGATATAATATGCATTTTGTATCATCAAATAATACATTATCTGTTGAAAAAACATTTACTTATAACAAGCCGCATTAAAAAAACTACTAAAAAGTGATGAGGTAATTTGAGAACATGCAACAAATAACAGATATTTTGAATCTAAACAACTTTCTACGAAGTACTGATGTCTTTTTAAATAACTTTTTATAGATGAAAAGGCTAATTCTATTGGGTTGAGGTCTGGTGAATAAGGAGGGAGAAATTCTACTCGTACACCGAATGCATGTAAATATTCAAGTAGTCCATTATCATGGTGTATTCTTACATTATTAAGTATTAAAACACTTCTTTTATGTGGAAATGAACTCATCTGTGGCAGCTAAAAAATAATTAAAAAATTATTTATTTGTATAAAAAAAATAATAATTATAAATCATACCACTTGAGTAATTACAAATTCTTTGAATGTTGTCTTTGTATAACTGTTTTCTATAATACTAATGGCAATAATGCTATCTAAAGTAAGTGCAGATAGAATTGTATAATGTTTACCACAAAGAAAAACTATTTTTTTAACAGCTTTGGTGTTTATTTTAGAATAACCATATCTTCTAGCAATGGTTTGTTCATCCTTAGAGGATTCATCTAAAAAAATTAATTGATTACTTTTATATTGGGAACCAATATGTGCCATAAAGGCACTATGAAGTAGTTCATTGCATTCTTTGGCTGCTTTATGTAGCTAAAAATAAAATATTAAACATTATTTTATATAGATTATATTTGTATAAATTATGCAAATAAAATAATTACTATTGTTAATTTTTATTCTAACTAATGTTATCTGATCGTATAAAAATCAAAATATTGTATAACTATAACTAAAACAAAATGAAAAAAATAAAAAAAATCGAAAAGCTTTATAATCTTAAATCTTATTATGAAAACCATACTTTGGACTTCTAAGTAAAGTTTTCAACGTCAAATTTTACATATATATAAAATCTTTTACTTTAACCTAAAACTAACTCTAATTCCTAATTTTAAATTTAAAAATTTTATAATACCGAATAATATTACCCAGAGTGAAAATTGATTATAAACTAAAATAAATATCTTTTTTCTTGTTATCCCACAATAAGCAAGTGAACGCCACATAGTAGAAATTAAGACACTTTTGCCAGTTTGAGCTTCCATTTGCAAAATAATTTCATCAAGATACAAACTTGGATTTTTTTGAATAATGCTTCGTAGTATCTGTTGTTTTAATACAAATTTAAGATAGTTGTTAAAATATATAATATAAGTACAATAAAAATCTTACATTCATATTATTTCAATTAAAAGTTTTATGATGTCCAGGTATTTGTCTCCAAGGATTAGTTACAGTTCCCCATTTTTTATATATTCACAGTACTTTGTTTATGAAACTTTTACTAATATACAGAAGATTTGCAATTTGCAATGTTGAATAATTATCATAATGTAAATAAATAATACGCTATTTCAAGTCATTACTATATGCGAAAACCATTGTTAAGGAAAATAAAAATCTGAAGTATTGAAATAGACACTTGATATATTTTATTTAAAAAATCCTTAAAATCCTTATGATTTTTGAAATCACAAAAAATCAGTAAAATCTCCGATTTTTACACAACATTGTGATCTGCAACAACCACATCTTTTTGCAAAGCACAATAATTAGTTAGGCTTAGTCTATGCTAATATTTAAAATTAATTTATATATAATTAAATTATTTCTAATAAGATATATTAATAGAGATAGTTCTGGTTAACTTTTTGATGTGTTATATTTTTTCTATTTTAAAAAGTATTATAATTATTATGTTTTGCTTATTTAAATATTATTATAACAATTATATTTATTAATTGAAATAATGAACATTTTAAAATAAGCAGCATTGTTATAATAATTTAATTAGATTTTTATAATTAATATTGTCATTATTTGTAATTTATAATAACATAGTTTATAAAATAAAAATTTAATGCATGTAATTGAGTAATCATATATCCAAGTAATATATAATAATTTTTTAGTAACTTATAGAACAAAATAGGTTTAGTACAAGTTATTTAATAAAGAACCTAGTTTTGTGCTTTATTATTAAATACTATATTTAAACAGAAGAAAATATATTTAATTTAAACTTAATTTTACACCAGATGTATAGCATATAAAAAAAATTATTTCACAATAAGGGTTATTTAATTACTAATATTTCAAATATTATTCTTTTTAGTTTAGATTAAATATATTTTTTTCTATTTATAGTTTACAAAATTACAAATAATATAATGTACTAAAACATAGAACATACTAAGAATAAATAAAATTAATAAAGCTGAGTATTCTAGTAACAGTTATTGATAGTAGTACAATATAAAATATGAATTAATTCTAGAATACAAAACAGCTAACAATAAAAATTATTTATATAAAATTATTTATTATATAAAATTTATTATTGTAGCTTTTGATTCTAAAGGAATTTTACTAGTATAATATAATAACTAATATAGTATGCTCATTTTTAACTTCTTTTAAGCAACTAAAGCATCTAGTTATAATAAATAATTTCACCTTTGCAATATGATTTTATAAAAATTTAAAATCATAAATAAAATTTAAAAAGTTAAGTTTTTAATATACCAAGAATGGCCTACAATAAAGAGTATGCTTTAATGCTATATAAAGTATAAATATGATTCTAAGCATCATAACTATATTTTGTGATTAGGTTTTAATTATTAGATTATATATATTAGAATTAAGATAGTTTTTAAATTTCATAAATTGCTATATATTACTCATAAGATTATATATATAAAAATTTATAAATAAACCAATTTGGGGTTTTTATTACTTTTTGTTATAAATGTACATATAGCTAAATTAAAAAAATAGCTAACAAATATATGAACTCTTAATTTATTTACAAAAAAATTTCTTATTTGGTTTATTGCAATATTAAACCTTAAGATTTAATAATCATAGTTGCTCAAATAAAATATAAAGGAAATACAAGAAAAAGCAAGTTTATTTGGGCTAGATGCTACAAAAGGAACTGAAATTGGCATATTTTTTTTTGAGTTCAACTAATTTAAAATTAGTCTTGAAATATTTTTTACTTAAGGAACAAATGCTGTTATTATAATAAAATTTGTAGTATAATTCTTAAACTTTTTGTTTTTCTATTTGAAATGACAATCTTGTCCATATGTCTTTATTAAGTAATATATGATTATATATTTAAATATCAATAAAAGTACATCTAGTTATATATATAACTTTAGTAATTATCTAATTAATGGTTTTGCCTATAGGTTACCTACTAGATGCCATACCTAAGACCTGTCTATGAGTTCTTTATTTAAACTTTTTGATTTTTAACATGAATTGTATATATATGTAATACCTATATTACTATTGTTGTAACATATCAGATTAGAGCTATATTAGTTGCTATTTATATCAAAGTACCACTTTATTGAATGTTACTAAGTATCATATTCTTTTGAATTTACTTTTGATACAAGCTTACTAAGCTGGTACCAAGAATACTACTTAGATCCAATTTAGTATATCCTATATTTACTAAACTAGTTTTAATGCCAGAAATATTCAAATTTCAGTAAGTCTATTCCTTTTCTGTAGCTTTTTTTTATATTTATCATATTATCTGCTATTGTGCCTTCTCTCCATTTCTGGTATGTTCACTAAATCTTTTACAGTAAGCACTAACTCTTTATATTATTAAACTTCTTTCTGGAAACTTCTTTTATACTAATCTTCATTTGCATGAACTTAGCTACAGAGCTTCATATACATTTATATGCTTCCATAGATTACAGAGTTTTTGCTTCTAGCTAGAATTGAACTGTTGACTTTGTCTATAGAGAAAGGAGTGCCTAGACCAATAGGCTATAAGACCCCATCCCAAAATTTTTTTTTTGGTATTAAGTTGAGGCTTTGCTAATATCTTTATTGGTAGTTTTTAAAGTTAGTAACTTCATGAAGTTACTATGTACAGAAATATTTCTATATATAAATGCTATAGTCAAGACCAACACTTGCAGTTAGAGCTAACCATTAAACTGCTAATTATATATAACTAACTTAAGTACAAATAAGAAGAAAACTACATTCAAGAATAAAGCTCAGACATATTAATCTGTAACCTAAACCTACTAGAGTGGTCAAAACTCATCTAGATTTGAATAGTTAAAATATAGTTAAACAAGATATTGTATTTAATCTAGAGAATAGTCTATATATTAATTTTTCTAATAGTATAACCAAGAGGTGGGCATGTGTTAGAGTTCAAGTATACTTGGTTAGGTAGTTTACATATACATGAATATGTATATGTTTGGCAGTTGTATTTAGTTTATCTATTATAATTAGTTTGAGTTAAATATTTAGAAAAAGGAAGTTTAAGATCTTGTTGTTTTTTCTAATTTGAAAAGTTTATGCAATATAGTTTTCAGAATAGTTTATAATATAGCTTATTGATTTCAAGTAGTATTTTAATAACCATTTGTGATGCTAAGTTGTAAGGAATGTTAAGGTTTTGAATTGTTTGAATTAGAGATTTGAATATGAGTCCTTTAAGAATGATATTAAGATAGAATATGCTTTCATTAAATAGTATCTAATAAAAGGTTTTATAATTTTGAATTTTTTGAATAAGTTTTTCTTGTCAAAGTTTAGAGAAGTTTAGGTTGCTTTGACTAATATGTTTGAAGATAGTATCTTAAATAATACTAATAAGTAGTGTTAGGTTAGAACATGTTTACCAATATGTTAAGGAGTCAGATAGGTTGTAATAAAAGCAGTTCATATTATAGAAAGTATGTAGGTATATTTTATGATATAGAAAGTGTGTATATAGTTCATTTAGTAAAATTTTGCTTTTAAAGAATTTAA